TTCATGGACCGCCCCACCCCCCCACTCCCCACCCCCCATACACGTAAGTCTATTGTCACAATTTCAGTGATTTTGACTTCCCAATATATTTTGGAGACCTAGTATGTACTAACATAACATCTAAAGGTAGCCTCTGCATCAATTGTTAGTGACTATGTCCAGCACATGTTCATGTATGATTAAGAGATAGAAGGATCCTCAGAGTTCATCTACTTTAAGATGATAGGTTTGCAGATGAAATAACTGGAGGCCACAAAGATGATCTGACTTGGCTAATGCTCCACAGGTGAATTAGTGGTGGCACTGGGACCAGAACCTAGGAGTCCTCCAATTCAATACTCTTTTTATCACTTACTTTTAATATCCAACCAACATGTTAACTTTACAATTCTATCCAGTTCCTCAAAAATCAATGGAGACATGATTCCTTTTAGCTTCAGAAACTATTAGTGCATCCAGGTTTGGGACCTGTGAATGTTTGTTGATTCTTGCTCCACAAAATCAATACAGTATGGAGACCTGAATGCCAAATCAGTATTGGCTGATGTTGCAAATGCTTTAAAATGGTTTTTGCATTTTATCTTCAAATTCTAACGTTAAATATCACCTTTTCAGAGATGTCTTCTCTAGCAAGTTTATTTATACTTGACCTGTGCTTTATATTTTATAGCACATGTCCTATTTTTCCCCCCACATGTCCTATTTTAAAATAATACATTTTGTTTACTTACTGATTGTGTGTCTTTTCTAATAGACTGTAAATTCCATGACAGCAGGGATCATTTCTGTTTAGTTCGTTAGTGTTTATTAAGTACCTTTCACAGTTCTTAGTATATAGAATAAACTCAGAGAGTATTTGTTGAATAAACAAATGAATTTCTCTCTGTAGCTCATGGTTGAAGTAAACCTATGGAAGCCCTACTTATCTCTTTTATTCTGTCCTAAACTTGGTTTCTAAGTCCAAGGTATTAAAGTTCCAGGGAAGTAGATTTTAGCTCAGCAAAAGCTACCAACTAGAGAGATTCAGAAATGAAATGAGCTATTTTGTGGGCTACTGAGCTCTGTGCCAAGAGATGCTGCCCAGGCACACAAGATCTCTCTGCATCAGCCAGAAGTTTGACCTTGATCTCTCAGTGACTTCTATGACTTCCAACTCTAAGATTCTGTAGTTCATTTCAGCTGATTTTGAGTTAGGTTAAAATAAACTTCACATATAAATGACCTATAGTAAGTCATCTAATGATACTTAGAAAGTTGATTATTCAGGCATGAAAGCCTTTTCATAATTATTTGATAATACAAATTCTACTGAATATGCAAGCTATAGTCTACATATACGTAACTCAATGAAGACTAAAAGCAAAGTTATAAAATTGTGTGGCGACTCCGTTTTACACACACTTTAATGTACTTACTAACTTGAGGGAAATGATGTATGAGCTCATTGTCCAAAATCACACATGCAAGGTGCTGGGACTGTCAGGCCTCAAACTCCTGAATCAGCCATCTCCTCACTATAAGAAACAACATCACGTTTGACTCCCAAACTACCTAGCCTTTAGGTTTAACTGTATTTTCATCTTCAATTTGGATTGAAAATACCTTTTTCAAATTTCCCCAGGAAAAAGACAAATGGAATTTTAAAATATAACTATTTTTTTTCTTTCATAGATATCAAAAATCTATTTTACTGCTTATTAGAGAAGTTATAACATCACAAGACAATAGTGATTAGTTTAAATAATTAGTATCTCTCATTAGCTTTTATAAGTAAAAAGCCAATTTAAAAATACATTTATTGGGGCAATATTGGCTAATAACATTATATAAATTTCAGGTGTACAACTTTAAATAATTAATATCTCTCATTAGCTTTTATAAGTAAAAAGCCAATTTAAAAATACATTTATTGGGGCAATATTGGTTATTAACATTATATAAATTTCAGGTGTACAACTTGATAATAAATCTGTATTTTCCACTATGTGCTCACCACTCAAAGTCCAGTCTTCCATCACCATACATTTGACCCTCTTTATCCTCTTCATCCTCCCCATACATTCCCCTCTGGTAGCCACCATACTGTTGTCTGTGTCTATAAGTTTGTTTTCTTTGTTTGTTGCTTTCTGTTTTATATCCCCTAAAAGATGAAATCATATGGTTCTTGTCCATTTCCATCTGACTTATTTCACTTAACATGATATTCTCAAGATCCATCCATGCTGTCGTAAATGGCAATAATTCATCTTTTCTTATGGCTGAGTAGTATTCCACTGTGTATATGTACCACTTCTTTTTTATCCAATCATCCATCAATGAATACTTAGGTTGTTTCCATTCTTGGCTACCACAAATAATGCCGCAATGAACACAGGGTTACATATTTTTATGAATAAATGTTTTCAACTTTTTCAGTTAGATGCCCAGTAGAGAGATTGCCGGTTATATGGTAACCCTTTTCTTAAATTTTTTGGGAACCTCATATTGTTTTCCATAGAGGCTACACCAATTTACATTCCTATTAGCAGTGAATGAGGATTCCCTCTTCAACACATCCTTTCCAACATTTGTTATTTCCTATCTTATTGATAACAGGCATTTTAACAGGTATGAGGCGGTGATTTATTATGGTTTTGATTTTCATTTCCCTTACAGGCAGTGAAGTTGAGCATCTTTTCAAATATCTGTTGGCCATCTATGTGTCCTTTTGGGGAAAAGGTCTGTTCAGGTCCTTTGCTCATTTTTATTGGATTTTTTGTTGTTGAATTATGTGAGTTTTAAAAAATATATATTTTGGATATTAGCCTGTTATTAGAAATAGCATTTGTACATTTCTTCTCCCATTGGGTTGGCTGCCTTTTTGTTTTGTTGATGCTTTCTTTTGTTGTGCAGAAAGAAGCATTTTAGTTGATATAGTCCCATTCATTTCTTTTTGCTTTTACTTCTGTTGCCTTTGGGGTCAAGTTCACAAAAGTTTTGCATCTATGTTTTCTTCTTTGTATTTTATTGTTTGAGGTAGGTGTTATATTCAAGTCTTTTAATTAATATATATATATTATACTAGAGGCCCGGTGCACAAAATTCGTGCGGGGGGTGGGGTGGGGTGTGTGTCCCTCAGCCCAGCCTGCACCCTCTCCAATCTTGGACATCCCTCTCACAATCCAGGACTGCTGGCTCCCAACCACTCACCTGCCTGCCTGCCTGATTGCCCCTAACCCAGCCGTGGGCAAGCTACGGTCCGCGGGCCGGATCCGGCCCGTTTGAAATGAATAAAACTAAAAAAAAAGAGACCATACCCTTTTATGTAATGATGTTTACTTTGAATTAATATTAGTTCACACAAACACTCCATCCATGCTTTTGTTCCGGCCCTCCGGTCCAGTTTAAGAACCCATTGTGACCCTTGAGTCAAAAAGTTTGCCCACCCCTACCCTAACCGCTTCTGCCTGCCAGCCTGATCACCTCCTAACCACTCCCCTGCCAGCCTGATCGACACCTAACTGCTCCCCTGCTGGCCCAATTGCCCCCAACTGCCCTCCCTTTCAGGCCTGGTCCCCCCCAACTGCCCTCCCTTTCAGGCCTGGTCCCTCCTAATTGCCCTCCCCTGCCAGCCATCTTGTGGTGACCATCTTTGACCACACGGGGGTGGCCATCTTGTGTTGGAGTGATGGTCAATTTGCATATTACCTCTTTATTAGCTAGGATATTAGATAGGATTGATTTCAAAGGGAGAGGGAGAGACAGAAACATCAATGATGAGAGAGAATCACTGATTAGCTGCCTTCTGCACACCCCACACTGAGGATCAAGCCCACAACCTGGGATGTGCCTTGATGGGGAATCGAGCTGTGACCTCCTGGTTAATAGGTCAATGCTCAATCACTGAGCCATGCCGGCTGGGCTATATTCAAGTCTTTAATTAATCCATTTTGAATTAATTTTTGTGTATGGTGTCAGACAGCAATCTAATTCATTCCTTTCCATGTGGCTTTTCCATTTTCCCAACATCATTTATTCAAGAGGTATTCCTTTCTCTATTGTTTTTTGAGTTCCTCTGTTGAAAATTAGTTGCTCATATATGTGTAGGTTTATTTCTGGGCTCTCAATTCTATTCTTTTGGTCTGTGTGTCTATTTTCCTGTCAATCCCACACCGTTTTGATTATTTTAGTTTTGTAGTATAATTTAAAGTCAGAGGGTGTGTTTGGTACCTCTGGTTTTATTTTTCTTAGGATTGTGTGGGCTACTTGGATCTTTTGTAGTTACATACACATTTGAAGATCTTTTTGTTCTATTTCTCTGAAAAATGCCATGGGGATTTTGACAGGGATTGCATTAAATGTGTATATTGCTTTAGATACTATGGCCACTTGAACTATGTTAATTCTTCCAACCCACGAACATAGACTATCTTTCCATTTCTTTGCGTCTTCATTTCTTTCAACAATGTCTTATAGTTTCCAGTATATAGGTCCTTTACTTCCTTTGTTAAGTTTATTCCTAGGTATTTTATTGTCTTTGTTGCAAATGTTAATGGGATTGTTTTCTTTATTTCTTTTACTGGTATTTCATTGATAGTATAAGAAAAGCAATGGATATTTGTACATTGATTTTGTATCCTGCAACTTTGCTGTATTTGTTTATTGTTTCTAAGTCTTTGGTGGAGTCTTTAGGGTTTTCGATATATAGAATCATATCATTTGCAAATAGAGTATTACTTCTTCATTTGCTTTTTGGATACATTTACAGTTTCGATCTCTTGCCTGAATGCTGTGGCTAGCACTTTCAGTACTATGTTGAATAATAGTGGTGAGAGTGGGCACCCTTGTCTTGTCCCTGATCTTAGAGGGAAAGCTTTCAGTTTTTGACTAATGAGTATGATATTAACTGAGGGTTTGTCATATATGGCCTTTATTATATTAAGGTACTTTCCTTCTATATCCATTTTATTGAGGCTCAACAGTTATTAAATGTCATTTTTTTCACCCAGTCTGATAAAAGATTTCAATTCAGAATAGCAGTTTATTAACTTAAGACCCAAAGAAGGAATATTTTCTTCTATAATGTTTAGTAAAACACAGAGAATAAGATGGGCATTTGTCATAGGTTAAATGGTAAGAAAGAAAAGGTCCAACAACATTTTATTTTTAGTTACTGGTTGTTTCTCAAAGGTCACACAAATCAGTGAGCTAATCATTAAAGAAAAAGTACACTATCTCATCCTTTTTTAGAGTTTGAAAGGACCTTTGAAACCATCTAGTTCAATTTCTTCATTTCTTCTTAATTGACATAATTGATTAGAGATTCTACAGTCTATAAGTACCTCTTCTTAGAAGAGTTCATCTTTCTATGAAATGCCTCTACTTTGTAAGAAAATCATGACCACTTATTTTTCATGTTATATGCTATGGTATAACAAGTACATTTTGAAAACTTCTTCACTTCTAAAATCCAAACATGCGTTCTCCTGTAGGCACATGTGTGTACAGCACCTCTGGCTTGCATGATTTCCCTTAACCAGTCTTCCAGTTACAAAATACATGAATGAGTAAATCTTGGAAAAGGGATGACATCTTTTATATTGTCAATTCCCAAGATGCATTGTAGATAGCGTTCAAATCCCATCCCAAAACCTCCATGTGGCACAGATCCAAATCGACGGAGGTCCAGATACCTGATTTTGAGAAACAGAGAATCATAACCTGTAAATGCCATATAGGGTCAGAGTTTATAATAGAATTTATGTTTCAAAGTATTTTGTAATCATTTATCATTCACGTCATTGTGGTAGACCAGTCTTTCCCCTCCACAGACAGATAAAGGACACAGAGAAGCTAAAAATGATCTGTCCACTGTTACCCAGACAAACAGTAGCAAATCCTGTCATTGATTCATTCATGGGCTTTAGTTACTTGACTCTTTTTCTTTTAAGTTACTTATTTAATTATATACAGAAAACTTACCTCATGAGGCCACAGGAAATATTCTAATAACTTTACTAATTTTCTTCAAAATATATTCCTTTCCTCTTTCTTAGTATGTTAATAGTGCTCTTTTTTTTTTTCCTTACCCAAATCATACTGTTCATACACAGAAGAAAGTGAAGAATTTTGCCTGATAAATTACAAAAAGGTATGTTCTACTAGATTAGGCTGTCAGCTACATCAAGGGAAGGACCTGCATTTTATTCACCCTTCCATCTCCAGTGCCTGCTCTGGAGTAGACACTTACTATATGAAGATTTATTGTTTGAAGGTACAAAAATATACTTGTGAGCACTGGAGTGAGGAGAAACTTCCAGTTCTCTGATTCACGCCTAGTGGAAGTTGTTCGGAGTCATTTTTCTGGAAGGTTGGGCAGCCTCTGAAGCCCATTCATAAACATTCTGTGCCCACTTAAGATGGCTAGAAAATGCCAATACGGCAACCTGGGATATGGTTATTTTAGGAAAGAAGAGGAGGAGGAAGATTCTGTAAATCTTATGTCATTTGGTGGGAGAATTCTTGAGTTACATAATATTGATTAAGACAAGTTTAGAACTTCTTGAATGATTTGTAAAATCAGTTCCAGAATAGAACTTCAGTGCCATAGCTGGGAGTCATTTGGCTCCTCCAGGATAAAGACTGTCACTTATTTTCCCACTGTTAACAATCATGGCTACATGTACAGGTATTTTATGTGGTTAAGATTAAGTACTTATCTTTCTAAAATAAAATATGAACTGCAACTAGGTGAGTTAGAACCAAGTGAGAGATCTACACACAAGAGCATCTAGCATAAAACTTCAGATCAGTAAGAGCTGTCAGGAATAATGGATGAACACAGTCTTCAACAATTGAAATGTTTGGTAGCTGGATTAACTTTAAGTTTATAAGACACAGGGGCAGGGTATACTTTGATTTAGTGAGAAAGTGAGATGAAGGGCATATCAAACCACTGCCACAAACACCTGCAGGATCTGAGCTGGCAGCTAGAACTCCAGCAAAGCTTTAGGTGGTTCTAAACTTCTCATAACTTGATGTCAAAACGCTGGTATGAATGTCTGGAAACGGAATTCAGCATTTTTCTTGCCTTTGCTTTATTTATTTGCCTTTGCTTCAATAGATGGAAAAATCCAGTTCTTAGAAACAAGTTTTCTAAAGAATATGTATTTGATGGATTGTTGTCTATTCTAGGGTAGCCAGATTATAAAAGAGATGGTACAGAATTTGTGGAACTAGTTACAGGTTTTACTTGCATATGGCATGTAGAAATAGGAAGTGAGTAAATTCTTAGACACCTGGTGTGGCCACTCAAAGTGGATAGAACACTAGCAGAGGTCACAGACTTGAAGATTTTGAAAACCCCTTCTATCTTTCAAATACTATGGTAACCATTTAAAAGGAAGAAAATTCAAATAATAAATCTTTATATTTAGAGAGCTTAACAGTTTGACAACTTTAGTTGGAAAAAGAATAGTACTGAAATTATCAATAAAGACCAGAAAAGGCCTAAACTTATTTAACCAATAATTAAAATTTGCATTTAGCTCGTTTTCATATACTTGCAGACAGAAACTGAGGTAAAATGCATACGCTTGATCAGTCAGGCTCATCTATCTAATAGCAGAAGTCAGAAGGACGGGGGTGGGGGAAGGGGGTAGCATTTACCGAGCTTCTACTCTATGTAGATACTTAACCTATATTGTCTCATTTCATCCTTACAATACCCTGTGAAATAATATTATCATTCCATCTTTTAGCCAAGAAAACCAAGACTCAGAGAGATTAACCATGCCTAAGGACATTCCTGGTAAAAAACAAGGCATTCAAGGCCCATTACTTAAACCCAATTTTAGGCTTTTTGCATTTCTGAAATTTAGTTCCTTCATTTCCAAAAGACAAGTGTGTAATCAAACCCTTTCTTCTCCTGAGGACAGGTGAAGAATTAATAATATTGTTGATAATATTATACCAATACCATGAAAGAGTCTATTACAGAAATATAAATTAAAATTCTGCATATACAAAAAAGTATCTGAAGAAAGGGTCTGAGGAAAGAAAACCAGAAAATTTTGGAGAAGTAAATGTACGAGTGCAGACAGGTGGTCTTCCCTAAGCAGCTTAGATTTCTAAGGTTGGCGAAGATCACTTAGGGGTCACTTAGTTCAAGCACCCAATTTCACATAGAGAGAAACTGAAGCATAATGGTTAGGAACAAAGTCCCAGCTCTATGCTTCTAACTGCTGTGCTCTTAGTTAAGTTAGTTAACATCTCTAGGCCTCAGGTCTGGAGGCACAGTTAAAAAGGAGCAAGAACAGTACCTAACTCACAGGGTGTTATGCTGTTTACATGACATAATATACACCTAACTGTAACACAGTCATCCAGCACACAATAAGTAATAAATAAACAGCAGCCATTATTATTACTATCTTTCAAGGACTCAAAAAAAAAAAGTAATCTTTTGATAACTTGTTCATTGTTTGTAACACTCTTTCACAGTGCTTTGGGAATACAAGTAAAAACCACGTAATGCTCGAACCAACAGCTAGAAGAAGAATCATTAGGGGCCTCCTTCTTACCATTGGTAGGCTTCTGTCAGTCCTGATCTGTAAAAGGAATACAACAGAATTCTTTCAGAGACTGTCAGTAAGGCAAACATACTAAACCACTAAACACTGTCTGGGTTGTGTGCTCTTGACAGAGAAGTGCACACTAACTTGTGCTCTCAAAGAACATGCAACCTAGCTGAGGGGCTGCACCTTTACTATATGGTCAGAAAGGCGCGTTCAACAAGAGTCCCAGGTGTTATCAAATAAGTGGCCTCGTCAATAAATGCTTTCGGAGGCAAGTAGGACCCCGGGGTTCATTTGGATGAGTGTACTGTCCTGTCACACAAGAAAAGCACTTTTACCGCTCTGAAGGTTGTTGGGAGGCACACACAAACAAAGGACACACAGACACACCTTTCACTCTATAACATTAAAATAATACAGATTCTGAGGCTACCTTCATAGTATGATTGCTAATTGGCTTTTGCCAATTAAGTGTTAAAAGGTTTTAGCTTTCAGTACTCATTAAAAGTAATTTCAGTCCTTTAAAAAAGTGTTTGGGACCAGTATATCTGAAGTGATCAGGACAATGAAAATGCAAATATACAAAAATACAGAACACATACACAGAAGTCACAGACGGATCAGAGAGAGATGGAAATGCATATCCATTTCATTAGAAAAGATTAATTTGGATGTTATCAGATATTAGGTAAACATTTAATGTTATGAGGAAAGGTTTCCTGAAGGAAGGAAGCAAGCAAAGAAAACAGAGCAATTAATCTTTCAACAGATGAGGTTTCTTGCCATGTGTGATTTTATTGTGCTTTAAAAAAGCCCCAAAAAACACACCCAGAGAATCTTTAAATTCTTTCCATCTAAGGAGTTTGACCTTTACTTCAATTCCACGATTTTCCCAGGACTTTCTAACTAACATGTTGGTTATAGTAAGGAGTCAGTACGCTAATAAAAAAGAGTCCTCCCAAAACATACTTATCCCCTTTCTTCTGGAACCTAACCAAATAGAGCAGTTCAAGTAAATAGAGTTACAAAACCAAGTTGCCCAACAGATTTATAGGTTGAGACCTTGGAAAACATCAACTTTTAAAGCATTTTTCCATTAGGTAAAGAAGGCCTTAGAAATGGCTAATTTAGCAGGCTATTTTCAAACAATTAGGGCTTTTCCAGGTTACTTTCCAGGTTACTCTGAAAAGTACCAGTATTATCTGGAGAGAAGGATTATGCCTTCAACATGGGAAAGGCTTTTTAAAAAAAATGTTTGGCACAGCAAAAGTGGAAAACCGTGGTTTATAACCCTGGTTAGTTTAGGAAGTCATTGTGGTGTGTTGGCAGACCATGCATATATGGAAGTGGTAGTTCAATTAGAAACACGATTCCCTATTTCTCTTCTTCAAAACATTTTCTGTGTGTTCACCGATTCACTTCCCAGGCCTTGGCCAGATAGTTAAAGTAAGTTATTCAAATAGCTAAATCAAGACCCTTACACAATGTAGAAAATCTGAGGAAGGGAAAACTGCTTATCCTAAATAGCTTAGCAGATATTTTTAGTATCTTTCTATTTCCATCTTTATCCTTTTCCTGGTTCAGAGTCTGTTTCTTTATGGCCCTACAGGACTCATAATTTATAGTAAATGAAAAGAACATAGAGAAGAGAAAAATAAAAATGAAGGGCAAGCTTTAATGGGGAAATCTTCCTCCTTCCATCATTAACTTTTTAAAAAGCCATTTCCATAGGAAGAGATAAATACAAACAGAGGGCAGTTTTCATTGTGGCCTTGTTTCATGTAATAGTTCCATTTGTTAAGAAAAGGAAGCTGAGAAAGGTCAAGTATCAACTTGCTCAAGGTCACTAGAATCTGAATTTCAGGTCTGCCAGCGGCTGCGGCCTGTGAACTGTCCTCTGTTACTTTGTCATGACTGCCTTTGAGTTTCCTGTCCCCAATTTCTGAATTTTGTTTCTTTTAGGTCTGACCAATACCTGGCCAGCCGCTGCTCTAAGAAATGGTATCGCTCCTCTCGGAGGCTTCCTCCAAAGAGCTCTCCAACTCCAGGAACCAGAAGGTCAACAGCAGCAACCTAAGAAGGAAACAAACAAACAGAACATAGACATTACACTTTCAGGGGCTTCAACAACTGTCACGTTCTCAAGCATGTGGAACTTTTAACATTTTGACAACTGACTAACTGCTCACCAGAATCTTATTTATGTTATTTGTTCATGTTCCTGTTTCAGGATCAAATGTTTAATATCATCTTTAGAATACATGCTACACAAATTGCTGGTGAATAGTTTCCTCTCCTCTCATGTACCCTTTTATGCAGTGTACTTAACAAAAATGTGTTTTCTTCACAAAAGTGATACAAATGTTAATTATAAAAAATGTGGAAAATATTAAAAATTATGAAATATTAAAAATCACCTATCACTACACAGAAGCAATTATATTCTGGCATATTTCCTTTCAGGTTTTCTTCTTCTTAAACATTTAAAGAGTATTGTAGAAATCAAATTACATATAAAAATTTACCATTCTAGTGTCTTTCTAACATTATAGAATAAATATTCTTCCTAAGTAAGTTAAAGTATTTTGCGACTTAATGTTTTAATAGCTGCACAGTTTATTGTTTAGGAGTATCATAGTTTTTATTGAACTGTTTTCCTTTTGTTGAACATGTAGGGGTATGTGCATGTTTGTTTTCTCTTATAAATAATGTGACAATGAAGATTTTTCTTTAATTTGTAGTATTTTGTTAAGACATGTAAAATATGGTCTGATTATTACAAAGAAGTACAAATTAAAACAACAAGATATCATTTTGGAGTTATCAAAGCGGTGAAGATAAGAAAACAACATAAACGAGCTGGACTAGAGAATGCATCAACCAGTGCTCTCGTACATTTGATACAACCTTTCCGTCAGCAATTTGGCAAAAGATAATCAAAAGCCTTAAAAATGCAATATGCTTTGACTCAGCAATAATGGTTGTAGGAACCAGTCCCAACAAAATAATCGGAGATGCAAAAATAAGATTAACAGACAGGACATTTATTGCAGCATTACTTATAATGACAAGAAATTCACGTGCGCATCAATAGAGACTCTTAAATACATTATAGCCATGAATAAGTAAAGAATGACATCTATATCACGAAATGTTAATTGTGTTGCCACTGTGACATCTTTTATCTGTATTTCCTTATTTTCTACAATGAAGATGTGTTATATTTTTGTAATAAAAAAACAAAAATATTTCTTTTCATTTTATGTAAACAGTTTTAGAATTGAAGGCATAGAGAAGCACAACCTTACTTTGTAGTTTATAAATAAATATTAAGAAAAAGTTCAAAAGAAAAAACAACAAAAACTTTTAATAGGAAAAAACAGTAACTTGATATTTTAATTTGTATTTCTTTGATTACTAGTAATGCTTGATTTAAGGTTGTTTATTTGCTATCTCTATTATCTTGTGACTTGACAATTCTTGGGGGGGCGGTCAGGTAGACATTTGTAAGGTCAAGAATACGAAGGCACAAAACTTAGAATGATTTATTGCAACAAACGAAAAATTAGGAATCGGTAAAACACATTTTAATTTTTAAATGCCACATTATAAGTTCTTCTTAAACTTTGCCTCACTTTACTATTAAGCCATCCCCTTGTTTTGATTTCAGAACTTTAAAAAAAAAAAATCCTCACCTGAGGATATGTTTATTGATTTTAAAGAGGAAGAGAGAGAGAGAGAGAGAGAGAGAGAGAGAGAGAGAGAGAGAGACAGGGGAAGAAAGAGAGAAACAGCAACAGGTTACCTCCTGTATGCACCCTGACTGGGGATCTAACTCGAAACCTTTTTGGTGACAGGATGATGCCCCAACTAACTGAGCCACCAGGCCATGGCTGACTTTAGAACTTTTGATTGAGATAAACTTTACAAATAATCGAGATTAATAAAGAATATTATAATTCAAGAATATGCTCTAAATACTATATACCTCATCCTTATCCTATCTAATAAAAGAGAAACATGGTAATTGGCGTACGACCGCTACCCTTCCCATTGGCTAATCAGGGAGATATGCAAATTAACTGCCAGCCAAGATGGCGGCCGGCAGCCAGGCAGCTTGAAACTAACATGAGACTTGCTAGCTTCAGTGACGGAGGACTGCAACATTCCCAGCCTGCCTTGCCGGGCTCTGAGCTGGCAGTTTGAAACATAGTTACAAAAATAGAAGCTAAACAAAACCCCAGAAACCAGCTTTCAGCTAGCCGGGATCTCAGACCTGGAGTTGATACAGAGTTTCGATTGTAGAACCTAAACAAACCAGATACCTGCTTTCAGGAGCAGAGGCCTAAGAGCTGGAGCCTCAGAGCTAAAGCTGGCTCAGAATAAAAAAAAAAAAGAAAGAAAAAAAGGAGCAGTTGGGAGCTTCAGTCCCAGCCTGAAAACAGCCCTTAGCCCCTCACCCAGACTGGCCAGGCACCCCAGTGGGGACCCCAACCCTGATCCGGGACACCCTTCAGGGCAAACCAGCCGGCCCCCACCCATGCACCAGGCCTCTATTCTATATAGTAAAAGGGTAATATGCCTCCCAGCACCGGGATCAGCTGAGCCGCGAGGTCTCCCGGCACCGGGATCAGCATGACAGGGGGCAGCGCCCAAACCCCCTGATCGCCCTGCGGCTGTGTGTGTGACAGGGGGTGGGGCCACAACCTCCCTATCGGCCCTGCTCTGTTCCTGACAGGGGAAGGCGCCCCAACCCCCTGATAGGCCCTGCTCTGTGCCTAATAGGGGGGAGCTCCCCAACCTCCTGATCACCCTGCGGCTCTGTGTGTGACAGGGTGCGGCGCCCCAACCCCTCCACCCCACGGGCCCTGCTCTGTGTGTGACGGGTAAGAGCCATAACCTCCCCATCGGCCCTGCCCTGAGTGTGAGAGTGGCGGCGCCCCAACCTCCCCATCGACCCTGCCTTGAGTGTGACAGGGGGCGGTGCCCCAACCCCCCAATCGGCCCTACCCTGAGCGTGACTGAGGGTGGCATCGCAACCTCCCAATCTGCCCTGCTCTGTGCATGACAGGGGGCGGCGCCCCAATTCCCCAATCGGCCCTGCTCTGAGCCTGACCAGGGGCTGCACCTAGGGATTAGGCCTGCCCTCTGCCATCCGGGAGCAGGCCTAAGCCAGCAGGTCGTTATCTCCTGAGGGATCCCAGACTGCGAGAGGGCACAGGCCGGGCTGAAGGACCCCTCCTTCCCCCCCGAGTGCACAAATTTTTGTGCACCGGGCCTCTAGTTATTATCATAAAAGAGAAAGCATTAGGCAGGATTTTTATCACTCAGCGGAATTAGAGTGAGAGGGAAGAGAAATGGTTCCTCTTACTAAGTCTCCTATACTCAATAAACTGGTGAGGACAAAGTGTACAACAGGCTTGCTGTCATGCTAACACGGCTTGTTGACCACATCTTAGTAATTCTTCTATGAACTTGTGGGGCCTACAATGAACAGGCAGGTATTTTAGAACATGGATTTGGTGACTGAGACATGACAGTAGGTAATGAAACAAACAGCTTTGGATAGGTGGACAAGAGAGGCTTACTAATGTGATGAGGAAATTCTCATAGACTCCAATCAGGACCCTGCAGTTACCCTTTCTATTCTCAGAGAAAGGAGAAGGTTCAAGGGAGTTTTTATGGCTACAGAAAGACTGGCTAATTTATTTCCTAGTATCCTGAATTTAGACATGGCTAAACTATGCTAGGAATTGAGACAAATGATGAAATATTTGTTCTGGACTTCAAGTTTTAAATTTAGAATTATAGGCAATCAGTGCTGGAAGAGGATAGACAACCAAGCAGCTCTCTGGCCTTTGCTTGAAAATACTTTAATTCTGGGAACCACTGCCTCTGAAATATAGCATTCCATCCTTGTGTAGGTCTGAATGTTAAGAAAGGATAAGTGTATCTAAAATCTATCATTTAGCCCTAGCCGATTTGGTTCAGTAGAGTGTTGGCCTGTGGACCGAAGGGTCCGGGGTTCGATTCCAGTCAAGGGCACATACCATGGTTGCAGGCTCCTCCCCGGCCCCAGCCCTGGTTGGGGCCCGTGCAGGAGGTAATCAATCAATGTGTTTCTCTCACATCCATATTTCTCTCTGTCTTTCCCTCTCTAAAAATCAATGGGTGCTCTAGCTGGTTTGGCTGAGTGGATAGAGCGTTGACCTGCAGACTGAAGGGTCCCAGGTTCAATTCCGGTCAAGGGCACATGTCTGGGTTGTGGCTCATCCCCAGTAGGGGGCATGCAGGAGGCAGTTGATCAATGATTCTCTCTCATCATTGATATTTCTATCTTTTTCTCCCTCTTCCTTCCTCTCTGAAATCAATAAAAAATATATTTAAAAAAATAAAAATCAATGGGAAAATATCTTCAGGTGAGGTTTAAAAAAAAAAAGTAATTTCTAAAAATAACAATAAAAAAATAAATAAAATCTATCATTTATTTCCAAAGTTTCAAAGTTGGGGTGATTCCAAGCCACAAAGGAAGGCAGTAATTGCTTGTGATTATAATTCAAGAATGCAAGTACATGCAAAGCTTTCAGAGGCAGAGCTAAAAAGACCCACTGCCTCAAAAAGGCTGCTGGAGAATCAGCTATGGTGGAAGAACAGGAGGTAGGTAGTCCTGCTGAGACTGGTGGCCAGTGAGGAGTAAACAAGGCTACCCTGGATGAGTTGTTCTGCTTTCTCTGTTAGTTCATAAGCATCAAACAAGAGCTCTATTTCTTGCTTGGTCTTGCTTCTGATACAACTAAAACAAGCAAAAAACCCTCTTTGGATCTTAGCACTTTTTGCAGGCCTAAATTTTATTAACTTTGGGACATAGCTTTTCAATGCTATTTTTAGAGGAATGTAGAAGACTCATATTTATCTTTGATTACAAAATCCCCTTATTTTACTATCTGAGTTCACTGGAGAACTCAACCTGACACTATACTAGTTTTTGACCTTTCTGCCTCGTTTTCGTTTATCTTGAATATTTGCATCTGCCCAGTAACAGTGGTGGAACTGGAAGCTTCTGAACCTTCTGA